GGATATGCCTTTATCCATTTTTTGCAGCAATTCCACTTTTTATTTAATGGACTCCAAAGATACTTTCGCTTTGTATATCCTTTACATATTAGTAAATATATATCGAAAATTCTATTTGATAATCGAAAGTTCAAGCTTACTTTATAAAATTGCTCTAACAGTCTGCAAAAAAATAATAATCCGGATCCAATTCGAAGATTAAGGAACAACGCAATCTGCAAACATTTAACTGAAATAGATAATTAGATAATTTTAGCTTAGCTTATCCCGTCCGTTGTACATTAAACGCGCATTCGTAAACGTAATTTGCGCACGCGCACACGCAAATTCGTAGCGGTAAAGGTCTTACGCACATGCGTCAACGCGACGCATGCGCAGAAAGGTTGTAGCTTTGAGGTCCGGATTATGGGTGTCCGAATTAACGACTTTTGACTGTATCATCCCAGCAACATCATGGGGAGGGACTGGTATGGTGGTGGAGGAGTGATGGTCTAGACAAGGATCATGTAAGATACCAGTGCACTGCTCCATTAGTTTGATACTGGTTCCATGAATGCTCAAAGGTACAGGTAGAAAGAGATCCTATAGCCGTCAGTGTGACATTTCAGGGGTGCTGTTGGCCCTGAGTTCATTTTTATAGATGACAATGCATGACCACATAGGGCCCATTTGGTTGATAACTATTTTGAAAGGCGAGCCAAATTTACTGACCTTAATTGTATTAAACATGCTTGGGATGCTCTTTGGGCCAACCCCCACCCAGAAACATTCAGGAGTTAAAAACGTATCTGGTTTGGAAGTGGCTGTGACTTCCAGAGGCACTTCTGAACTCTCTTGTTAACAGGCTGGCTATTCGTTGTGCATGCTGTCTATCAGAAGAGACCAGACACACCATACTAGCCATATTTTCACTCCTATCTTTTAACCTCAAGTATGGACCACATTGGACTCTTGGCCACAACTCATGCTTTTGAATGGCATTTTCATTTTTGTTTTGCACACATTATTTTTAGACAATAAACTATATCCATACATAATTTCATTTATTTCTATCCAGTATTTCTCAAGATATTTGAAAAAAAGTGTTCCGTCTTATAATTTTGTCTACCAATGTACATTTCAATCATTTATTTATTGCAAATACAGTATTGCACAAGATTTCAAGATTTTAATTGTTTGAAGTCAGTTTATTCATACTACCATTAATAATTAACATGACTCATGCTCTAGAATATCTATAAGTGCAGCAAATTCATTTACAAGTGATATAAATCTTAAAGATTTGAAGATAACAGATTTTATTAACTTTTATTCATACTAGTCCAAAAATTTAAAAAATGCTCAGTTATGAATTTTTGCATTAAGAATAATTGCTTTGTTTGGAACTACATTTATAAGTTACCAGCATTTTTCCATAATTAAATAAGAAAAGGAATCAATTTGACCAATGAGCATCTACAATTTGTGAAGAAGATAATTTATTTTAGAAATTTCGTGGTAACTTTATGAGAATCGAAATACCAACAAGTGTCAAGTTGTAGTAAAAAATATTGCTTATAATTGTTTACATACAGACATGTATTTTTATTTGTGTGTAGGAAAATTTAATAAATATAAGAAAGAGAGTAGGTTGTCAATATTATTCTCAAGTTGTATCTCACTGGAATGTTTTCATAATTTGAACTTACACAAATTTTCAAACTGACATTTGAAATAAATATCTGTCTGAAAGTTTAATATTTAGCTGTCAGTATATTTGAATTAAGAAGTGTAACAAACAAAAATGGCTTGCTAGTACCAAACTTTTAGATGAAAATACGTATAAAATAGAATTTTCCCCTTTGCATATTATTATTATTGTTTATTATATGTTTTTTTTTAATTTAGTTAAGTTAAATTAAAAATTTATTTTAAGTATTTTTATTGATGAAAATGTTTCATTTTGTAAACAGAAAAAAATTCTGTCCTAGCAGCTGTTTCAAGATCATGCATTTAGCCCACATGCAGTGAGTTTCAGACCACTGCTATCTTGAAACAGACCTTACAATATTTGAGGAAGCTTATATCAATCTAAATTTTCTATTAGGTTGTTTTTCAAAAGAATTACTATTATCAGTTTCAGCAGAATTACTATTACTGTGTGTTTTTCAAAAGAATTACTATTATCAAAGAGTAGAATTAGCTGTGGGAACTGGCCTTTGCCTTTTCTTGCTGATATACACACGTATTGTGTTGAAATAAAATTATTTTAAAACTGCCCTTCCCTTCTCCCATTTTAGTCCCGTTCACAAGATCAAACGGTGTCGAAAGGCAAATCTTTGAATCTGACCTGTTCAGCTGCTGAAGCACCATAAATGACTTTTTTGTTGAACTAGAGACAAATTATTTTGCCTTCTCGAAAATAGAGCTAATAGGAAATTTTCATATTACATTACACTAGTCACTTTGCAGTACTGTAAATATCATAGCTGACCTTAATTATCTGCTTTGTGGAGTCTTAATCTTTGGGATCTGCAGTGAGAGACAGGATAACATATTTTTTAGTAAAAATATAGGTGTGAAGAAACCTTAAACATTTATTGCAATGATTCTAAAAGCATTTTGAATGATTGAAAACGAAAATGTCTCCATGAGAAGAAAATGTAGCAAAGGAATGGTTTCAGAAACCATAACAAATTTCTTTAGTTTCATTAGAAATTTTTCTTTATTGCTCTTCTAGTGTTAGTGTGTACATTTACTAAATTTGCTAGTGTACCAGCAAATTAAAGGCATTTGATTTTCTTTTGAAGGGGAGAATACTCCTTTTTATAAATTAGTTCTTAACTAAATAAATAAATCATTTGAAACAATAAACAATCAGTTTCATGTTATGTACCCTTAAAATCTTAATTTACCTGTATTCAATAATTATCAATTTTTTAGCTTTTTGAATTGCTCATATAAACTTTCAAGAGTGCCCTCTTTTTCTTCAAAGCGGTATGAATTGAAAATACATAATTTTGGCACTACCAGCAGGGGGGGGAGAATGATTCTAAGAAAATTAAATAAATTAAATGAAATGCTGAAATACCTGGGGCTTGAGTGGCTACCAGGAATGTTGGCAGGTGGTGGATAGCCGGAAGTCCTGTATTATGTGACAGGAGAAGTTTGAATAATAAAACAAGAAGCTGCGAACCCCCTCCCGTAACCCTGGTGTCATGCGAATCATGTGTAGGGTGAATGACACATTGGTTGTAGTATCTTAACAAAGCCTCTAGAATGCCTGGCAACTTCTAGAGTATTTTGCCTTACCCGGCAACAGGCAATACTGGGTGGACCTTTTTTATTTCTGAACTTTATTTTCTAGTTTATAGTATATGGCTGAAGATGAAAATATAACTTGAAAATTTCTGCTTTTGCAGGCAAAACCTCTGAGGTAGACCTTTCTTCTGAAAACTGGGAAACCCAGAGAAAATCATATGAAGGAGCAGAAATGAATCCTTCATTGAGGTAGAAATGACCTCTACTCAAGTTACTCAATTAACATCTGGAGAAAGCAGGAGGCTATTGAAAGCATGATTGCCTCTCTAGATAAAATCAAAAAGAGAATGACTGGAGCACAAAAAAACAGAAACAAAAAACAAAACAAAATAAATAAATAAAAGAAATATGCCCGAGAATTGAAAATTCCTAAAAGGTACTTAGGTTGAAAACCTAAGGGAAAAGGTGAAAAAAGGTAATCTCAACCTGAGCTCTATTAAGGTATGTTGCACTTTATAAACAAAGTGGGTGATTTAAAGAAATGTGCTAGGAAGCATTGGATTTGATGCATTTGGAACAAAATGCCTGATACCTGATAAATCCAACTTAAAGAAGAAGAATGCTGAAATACGTTTACTGTAATTTAATTTTAGTTTTTAATGGTTTACTGATAACAGTAGTAACTTATTCATCACTTTCTCCTAAACCGCTCTCAAAGTAGGGTTCTACGTCTTGTTCTTATTTATTTTTATAAATATTTTCTACCTGCACTTATCAGTTTACAGGGAGAAGTTAAAAAAACTTTTTTTTTATTTATTTTTATTTATTTATTTATTTATTTATTTTAGATTTTAAATAAGCTCCATTATTAAGCAGAGAAAGCAAGGCTGTTTTTCTTTTTCATGAATCATATTGATTTGTTCCATTCTTAAATTTATAAGCTGCTTATAAAATGCATCCTGAATAATTAAAAATGAAGTTTTTGGCAAATTTCAGAGGTCATGCAAGACTTAACAGTTGCCTCCCCTCCCCAACCATCGCCAAGTAAATGAACTGAACCACTAAAAATCATAATTCTTATGACTGAAAATATGTTTTCTAAATAAGATGTTCTGTGATATTGGTATTGTTATATATAGAGAGAGATATTATCACTTAACAACAATACTTAACCCTCATGGAACTTTAGGTAATGTTTTATAAGATAATCTTAAAAATTAATTATTTTAATAAAATTATATATGTAGGCATTTTTAGAAATAATGTTTCAAACTGAGAGTAACATAATAATGATAATAGAATCAATTTTCCCGGATTGTGCCTTCAAACTAATATTGCATCAGATTGCTATGAAGGCCAAAATACTGTCAGTTTTGCTGTAAATGCAGAACCAAACATAGCCATAATAATATTGTGGTGATGAGTCATGTTAGTGTGAGAGAATTTTATTCATGAAAAATTGTACTTCACACTGTTAAATTTAGTAGATTTAAAATTGGTAAATGGTAATTAAAAGGCGTGCTCCTGAAATATTTTTTCCTTGACAAGATTATTTAAAACTTAATTTTTTGAACAGATAATTTATGTGTTCAATCTTATGGAGACCTATACACTTGTTTCATTGTAAATTTTTCAAATTTCTGAATATGTTATCATTCATGTATCAGTATCAAGCATATGTTAATTGTTTGTTAAAAAATTGTTTTATTAAAATATTGATCTAATTTTTATAAGCAAATTTTCATTTTGACCTTTTGCAGAAAAATGCCACAGTGTGCTTACCTGCTCGGAAACTTGTTGAAAGGTCTTCTAGCTGTAATAGAGATCCCCTGATATGTAAAAATAATTTCTCTTGTTTGGTTCCTGTTCTTTTAAATGCTTCACAAAGATTTGTGGAAATTAAAAGAAGAAATAAATATTCTGTTTTGTACATTGGATCACTTGAAGAGCTTACTTTAGTTGGTAAGAATTATGTAAATGTGTTTATAGTTGCTTAAAATCTTTTAATTCTGTGTATTTTTATTTTTGAAAATAAGTGGCCATTATGTGTATTACATATGATTATATTTGACATGTTAATTGTTTATGCATCTTAATAGCTGTTTCCATCAAGACAATTGAAAATAAATCTGTTTATCTTCAAAAGTTTATATAATTAGAATTAACTTTACATTATTAAGCTTTATCTCATGAATACTTGGATGTTTCAGTGTTTGTAACACATGCAGAGCCCTTCATTATGGAGCATACATTTAGGTTATATTTATTTCTTATTGAAGAAGTGCAGTAAAAAAGGAGTTCAAAACTTAATCCAGTTATGTGCTGATAGCAACAACAGCTGGTAGTAATATTGTCAAATAAAAATAAATCATTCAAATTCATCCCTATATTTAACCTGGAGCAAAACATTGGAAATAATATTGAGAATCACAATGACTAACTTCATGAAAAGGTGTAAAAACAGTGTGCATGAAAAATGAAAATAATAAAGAAAGAAGATCTTGTTATTAAGACTCAGCCTGCTTGACATTTTCTTTTTAAGTAAATTCATAGCTTTGATGCTGTAGACTCGGTCTGCTTGATATTTTCATTATTTTTAAATAAATTTATCGCGTTGATGCTCTTTCGTTATAATTTTGATTCTCTTTTTAAAATGTGCAGGTGTACTGTACCCACTTCAGTCTGTAGGGGCTAGATAGGGTACAAATTTCTCTTATTAATTTTCTATGATTAATTGAAGTATTAAATTCTAATTTATAAATTTGTGTCATTATCAGTTCAGAAACTGGCTGATTTATTTACTTTTGTTACGTCAACCCCCTGACGACAGTGTGGCAAGGGATGTAAATAACTTTTTTTACTGTTTTTTTTTTTGGCAATTAGTCACTGTACTCTTAAGGCAATTAGTTACTGTACTTCTTGATATTATTTCTAATGGTTTGTTCCAGATTGAATACGGGAGAGATTTAAATGATGTACTTTTATTTTACAATTTATTTTTTCTTAATGCAAAATAATTTTATTTATAAATTTGACTTGATTTTTTAAGAATTTCCTTTATATAAAAAGATAAAATCAATAATTTGTTCCAAGAACAAAAAAGTACATATAACGTAAACATTATATAAAAAATGCTTATACATCAAGTCTTGTATATACACTGATCATCAAAATTAAAGCATAATGAGAAAAAATATGCCTAATGATGTAAAGTATCAAATAATTGGTAGATTTTTAAGTGTGGGATTAGTTGACAGACACCCTGGTCAAATGCAACCAAGAATAACAGTTGCATCAGAAGACCATTTTGTGTTGTGGTTTGCTTGAAGAAACTGCAGAGCGACGGCAAGAGATTTGGATTTTGACCTTCAGGCTACCACAGGAACTCGAACTTGCCTTTTTATTGCTTTGCGAAAGCTTAACATGGACTATGCGAGAAAAACAATGGTTCGTCTCTCACTCACTTCAGCTTCCAGAGGGGCCCATTTAAACTGGTGCTGTCTTCATATTCAATAGAGCCAAGCTGACTGGGCCTGAGTAATTTTTACTGACAAGTCCAGATATAGTCTGAACAGTGATTCTAGACGTGTTTTGATCTGGACAGGGCAAGGAACATGCAAATGCAACTTGCCTTCCCTTATCCATGAACTGTGCCATTTATGCTATGCAGTTTAATGGTTTGGCGAGTAATCATGGACAAATGGTCCCACCAAACTGCATCAATCCTTGAAACCTGGACTGCCTGTACCTGTGACCTGGAGTACCTGTGACTGCTCGGAGATGTGTGGACGAGGTATTGGAACCCCAAATTAGAGTGTTGAGGGATACTGTTGGCCCAGAATTTTTGCTAATAGATAACAATGCTTGGCTTCATCCAGTATATGTGATGCCAGAATATTTGTAAACTGAAGATATCACTTGAATGGATTGGTGGCCATCTTACCCAACTTGAGCCCGATTGATCATGTGTGGGTGCCTTAGGGCATCGAATTTCAGCATGCCAAACTCCTTCCCAAACTCTAGGAGTTGAAAAGTGCACTTTCAGAAGATTGGCATGCAGGTGCACAAGACTTAATTAACACTTTAATAATGTCTATGAAATCAAGATGTGAGTGATGCATAGCTATCTGATGGTAGACCATATTAAAGAAAAATTTTTTCCACAAGAGGTTATAAGTATTTTCTCCTTCATTCCAGCATGCCTTCATGGTGTAACAGTAGCACACATGGCGTGTATTTGAGAAGTCCAGGTTCGAGTCCCGGTGAGGTCATTGCTCATTTTTCATGTCTCCTGCTTTGAAAAATTTAATGACTCCACAAGATGAGTTAAAATTCCAATTTCCATAAATTTTATTTTTAGTATTTTGTGAATCATCAACTAAACGTAATTTATGTTAACTAATGCCCTTGTACAAATTTCTATTAAGAATTTTTCATTAAGTGTCAGTTATATTTTATTTCTGTCATTATCCTTTAAAGTGCATATGCAACATTCAAAACGCTAAGCCTAATCGCTGCACAAAATGAGCAGCCATTTCTAACTTTGAGCAACAAATGTACTCAAAGCCTGAAATTTATACAATAATATACAGAATCTTTAGGCTAGTTAGAGGTTTGTCGTGAGAAACATGCCTAACTTTTGCTTTTGTAATGATTTTCCACAAAATTAATGTTCTTTTTATAAAGATATAACACACAGTGAAGCTTCACTGTCTTGATCCTGATTCAAGTCATGCTAATAACTCTGTTTTTCTTAGCATTTTGTTTGGGCTTAGGATTTTGATCGGCAAAAACCCTACATAACTTGACATTGCCAAAACATAATTACCCACTTTCATAGGCATAAATCCATCTTCCTTTCAAATAAAGTTTCTTTGAAAATTCGAAATACTTTGTATTTTCCAAGAAAGAATTTCATGTCAGTCTTGTAACTATTCATGAGCAAGCAAGCAAATTTTCCAGTTTTTTTTGGGGGGGGAAGAGCAAATCCTTTTCATTTGGCAGATATACTCTTGAACAAAAGCTAATCAAATAACTCTCTTTTTCAAGTGAAAGCTAAAAATCGAAATTTAAAATATTTTAAGTAGGCTGGTAAATCCTGTATTGCAAAGGACTATGGTATTCCATGTACAACTGTCACTACATTTTGCAAAATAAAAGAAGTTATTATTAAGACTCTTAAAACATCAGAACCATCACAGAAAAAGTTTCGAATTTCAGATTTTGCAATCATGGACAAGAGGGGACTAAATTTTTAATAGAGTGTTAAAAATGTTTTATAGCGAGCATCAGTTGGTTAGATCTCTTCAAATACTGCTATGACATTATCTTTAACCTCTTCTTGGTCGGAATTATTTTTTTTTCAAATTTCTGATTAAAAAAAGCACCTTTTTTAATTGCTGATAATTAATATATGTTCTATCCTAAATTCGAAAATGCAAAATATTTTTGACAGCAGTTTTTGATTGGTTAAATATTTGATATCCTGTTCACTGATCACTAATTTTTCCTGCAGTGCACCCAAGTTTTAAATTTAAAAAAACACAATGTAATACTATATTTATTAACTCTATTGTTTGATGTGTATAATATAAATATCTACATAAAATATTATTAAAATTACATCAAAAATGCTTTAGAAAATGGATTTCCAACCTTACTGTTAAAACAGCTTTACAACCTTTATCACATAACATTATCACAAAAAACATTTATCACAAAAACAGTCATTCAATTAATGAAAAAAAATTTTTTCCCTTACTTTATTAAAAAAAATTGGCTATAAATATCAAAAATATCTGAATTTTTTTAGTTGAAATTCTAATAGCTATCACGCGGATATTCAGTAAGAGATATGCAAGGCAAGACATCTTTGCGAAAATTGTGAAGAAACTAGGACTAGTCGCACTATCTGTTAGCAATATTCAGAAACACAAAACACAAAAATAATCATGGAATTTAAAATAACGAATGAGAACCGATGAATTCATTTTCAACAATGGAATTTTTCACTTCGTTCCATGGCATGTGACACTGACCTTTCGAGCACAAAATATTTCTTAAGGCAATTAAAAATATAAGGAGAAACATGATACTTAAATCTGAGTTATATACTATATTCCTTAAAGTTTAAAATTCTGCACTTCTATTAAACATGTAAGTAGCAATTTCAATCTTATAGCTGTTTCTCATATTTTTAAAACTTTTTCTTTAATATATCCTTTAATGATATGTATTTGTATGTATGTGTGATGAGTAATTTTTTTTTTCCTCCTTATTTAGTCACAGTTAGTTCATGGACTTCAAATTTTAGATTTTTCTCTGTGACTTTTGTAGAAATTTATGAAACTCTGTTAATGTATCCTTTTAGATGTATAATTTTTCCTTATGATGTATTGTGTTTAAGCATTTTAGTGAGTTATACATTAGTAAAATGGTAATTTTATTAAATTCTTATTTACCTTAATTTCGATACTAGGTATATTTTAGCATTTTCAAGTGGCCTTGCAATTATAAATACAGTACCTTGTTATGGGCTTGACGGTGAATACATTTTTGAAAGTTTGGTTCATTTAACTTTATCGAAGCATATTCCTCGAGGTTCAGATAGAAATCTAATTGTTAAATATATTAAAATATTTGGAGTCATTTTATTGTTTATTACCATTATTCATACAATTTTAAATATTACATCGAATTTCCATTTCTCATCTTTGTAAATATAAATCAAATTAAATAAATTACTTTTTTGGGTCTCCATTGCTTTTTTTTTAATATGTTGACATTACTCCGATTATTATTATTTTTCTAACATATTAACATTGTAGTATTAATCCTCTTAGTCTGAATAAGGGGTGTAATGTTTTGAATTAACTTTTAATGTAAAAATTAAAAAATCACGCTGAATAAGGTATTTAACATTTAAATGCTGAGGTATTGAGAAATGTAATATACATTTTATGCTGCATGCTTATTTTATTACATGTTGCTAGAGGCTAATACAGTACAAAGTCCGATATCTGAACACCCATATCTGGAATGATCTAAAATCTGGACCTCAAAGGTATTTGCCATTTGGGAGGTTCACATTATGCATGCAAGCCCATTTGATTCCCCCACCCTCATAATAAAACATGTGGAGAGTCCCTATTGTTAATCTCTTTTCGGCACTAAATAAAATATTTCATTATCAAAGAAATAATCATTCTAGCATAAATTTATGCGATCAATAATTTAATGTAGCTGCATATCTGCTTGGCATACATCTCAAACCAAAACATTCCGTATAGAATTGTTGATTTTACACCAACTAATACTTTATATCCTTGACAACAATCTGGCAAATCATTATATTTTGCTTTCATCGCCGCATGTTATCAACACGACAACTTGAGTGATGACTCATGCAGTGATGCTTAAACAATTTTTTTATATTTAGTAATTCAATAACAAAGAGTATTATCTGATTACAGATTTTAGCTAAATGAGCTAAGAAATGTTGATGAGGAAAGATATAACAAAAATTTCTTTCCATATGCTAAAAATAGATTTTGTTAATGATACTCATAGGCCAAAAGATTACAATTAGTGCTATTTGAATTCAGAATAACTGATTTGTTATTCACATAAAGCCAGAGCTCACATGGCAGCACTAAGCAGCAGAATTTTGGAAAGAGGAGTTAACAGAAGTTTTTCAATTCGATGGCAGTGCCCCAATCATCAATCAGTTAACGAACGGTGATATCTGTAGTATGTTTCTAAATCCAGAAAATACCGCTACCGATAGTAAAGTGGCAGAGGAGTTATTCAAAAGGAAAAAAATTTCGATTCACAACTTAGTCGGAAATCTCGACACAGCAGTTACAGGACTTTAACAATGGAACTTAGTAACTGAACAAGAAATTATATCTGTGTATAGATTTATAGATGCGTATAGAAAGTATTAGCACAAAAAAATGTAAACAACTTACACTGAAAGAAGTGTTTAATAAAGTAAACATATAAATATTAACCTCGTTTTTTGTAAATTTTGATACCCTTTAGGTCATAAATGCTGCATTATTTAATAAATTACGATTTCATATTTTTAATCTTTTAGTTTCTGCATGCTGTCTTACTATATTTAAACTGATCTAATATCCGAAAAAATCCCAAATCTGGGATCGCCAAAGTCCCGACAAGTCCGGATCTCTGACTTAGTACTGTATATAGCTGCAAATCATAAACAATCAAAATCATTTCCCAAAGGCAGAGAACATTATACATTTGATGGCTTTTTTTTAAATCAGATGCAATTCAATTACCAATAGATAACCCACACATTTTATTTGTATTAATAACATACTAATAATAAATATTAATGCAATTTTTGTTGTAAATTAGTGTGCATATTCAGATATGTTTGATTAATGTCTAGTTCAGTGGATTCCATATTAAATGCAGCTTAGTTCACATCAGGAGCTTCCAACCTGCAGTGCTTATATTTTTAGGGGGTGCAGCAAAAAGTTTTGTACTGTTAAATGAGAAGTCAAAATCAGTACGTTTGTGTGAACAGACACCAAAGAGGTTTAAAACATTCCTTGGGGAAAGCAGTATAGAAAATGCTGGAAACCATTGGTCCAAATAAATTGTTCGAGTAGACACACACTATTGTATATTGAGGTTTATCAATTCTGTAAGACTGATTGAAGGAAAAATTGCTGTATTTCTGAAGCATTAAAAAATAGCTGTATCCACTCTGACCTATCAAAGGTTTATTTATTTTTTTAATTTAAACTGGAGAAAGCCCATAGAAAGAAACCCTTAGGCAGAGGTAAAGAGGAAGGCATTCAAACAAAACACGAGATGCACCATAAAATACATGTGCAGGGTACCAAAAGCAGGAAGTGCTATAAGAAATTCAAAAGTTCATCAAGGAGTCCTGCAGCTCTCAATATAAATAGCAAAGCATAATGTCAGATAAGGCTGGGAAGGGCATCCCCACAGTGTAGGTATCCTTGAGGTAATTCCAAATCAAAAGACAGAGACCAGAAATCAGTTAAACAAAATGCAGCGATTGCTTTATCTCTGGGATGGTCGGGTATAATGTTGAGTACCTCACTCTTTGCCTGGAACAGATGCGTATTTTTAATTTTCTGATGTGCAATAGAGTTTGAAGTGATGCTGCTTGGTCCAGTTGTTTGTATGTGTGTGCCTATCTTCGCAAGAGAATCCATAGTTTCATTGCTAGGGATTCTCAATGAGAAAGAAATCCACAGAAATATAATTTTTGTGTGAGAGCCAGTGCTATAAAAGCCACATTCTTTCTTGACTGTTTAATCATATATTTATTTTGCTAATTTTGATATATCTTAATGAGCTTCGTTAAAATTGTTGAATTTTAAAATGAATTATCAGGTCTGATGATATTCAGCATAATCCATTTTCTATAAAAAGGCAGTGGATGAAACATTGCAATCAAATATTCGTTGAAGATTATTAAGAAATATAATTTAATCTGAGAATGCATTATGCAGTCCTGTAACTCACAATAAGTGTACCAGAATGTTGACTCCTACACTGTACTTTTGATGAGTATGCATGCATACTCATCAAAAGTACACATGCATTTTTCTCTTTATATGTCAATTTTGAAATGAAGTCATCCCTAGAAATTAGGTAATGCACTGGTGTTTCACTGAAGTCTTAGTTGCTTCTTCGGTGTGATATGGATTTAGAGTTGGTACTGAACTGAGACTGAGCATGTCTTAATTCTTGAAATTTTCAGGGTTAATTATTTGTATAAGCTATATGGATAACATAATGCTGAAATTCATAATCATGTGAAGATTTATTTCATTGGTTTTCCAAGAAGTTTTCCCGTTTCTCAAACACTTAACTTGTTAATTCAATAAGTTCACCAGAAGTTGTGTCATGTACATGAAACTTGCAATATTCAAATTTGGCTGATAAAGGGCATTAGTTACAAGCAATTTCTTTCATTGTATGAAGAGAAATTCATATTATAATGCAGAGAGAGTTCAAGCATCTGTGGATGTGCACTGGGTGTTAAAACCAAGCCTCAGATGTTATATTTTATTCATAGTTTGATATGTGAGAGTGGCAACCTTCTAATTTTGTTATTGTTCTACAGATTTTGAAAATAAACATCACTGTTTGGAATATTAGATGTAATATTATTTTATGTTTATTAGGATAAACCAGAATGGTTAGTTCTTGCAAATCTTGAACAATTGCTGACAGCGAAAGTGATGGGTAAAAGAAGTCAAGGTAATTTTTATTGGTTTTATTGAATTTAATTTCATTTGATTTCATTGAAATGGAATCGTTAATTGACAAACGAAAAACCCATCAGAGCATATTTTACTAAAACAATTAATGCAATTTTGCAGGAATTAGAAAAGGAAATTCCTGATGAAAAATCTAAAAACGAAACTTGTTGCTTTATAACATTTATCTGCTGAACTTATTACATTTGATACTCAAACTTTGAATTCAGAATTATCTTCGAATGATGAGTTTGAAAGTGAATGGGCAAAATTTGAAGACTACAAAGAAAAGTCAGATTTAATACGCTTTGAAATGGAATTCATTTTCAATCGCCAAATGACATAATCCATTGGCAATGTGCCACCAAATATGAATAAATGGAAACTGAAATTATCTAAAATAGAGTTAAAACAAATCAGTGGCGAAATTAAAGATTGGTTATTGTTTTCGGGACAATTTTGGCGAATACATGATAATAAAGAAATTCAAAACGAGGGCAAGATGCATTATCTCTTTCCAGCGACCGTACGTGGTATGAGACCATGTGATGTTGTTAGCAGCTTGCCTGCAGCTGCCAAAAATTATGTAAAATTTACAGAAAGCTTAAGAAATTGATTCAGCAGGGAAGAATTGTAGGTAGAATTCTATATTCGGGAATTGTTAAAAATGATACTGATCAAAAGGGAAAATGCAGTATTTCAGAAATGTATGACAAGTCAGAGACGTATTTACATACATTGGAGTCAATAGGAATGACGAATAAGCTGCAATCCTGTTTCTGTTCGTTGAATCCTACATTCCCGAGGAAATTTTACGAGTTAGAAAGCGCATTAATAATTCCAGCATAAAATTTTCACTCTGAGAAATTGAAACAGTTGTTGCTGTTTTCAAAGAATGAAGTGGAAGGAGAGCAGAGAATTTCTTTGGCGAAAGCTGGATTTAAATTTATTGATTCGGGTTCAGACAAAGAAATTAAAAGAGATAAAAGGTATCGGTGAACATTTCGTGCCTACAGCGAATGATTTATTCTCAGGTCATAATAAAGCAACAAATTATAGTCAAAAGAATTCTTGCATATTTTGTGAGAAAATTCATGAAAGTCGAGACAGCTTTGTTGCTCAGAAGGTGTCTCTGAGTCAAAAGAATGATGAAATTAAGAAAAGCAATTGCGCTTCTTCTGCCTCAAAATTGGATACAGGACCAAGCAATGCAAGACAAATGTACAATGTTTGATATGCTCCTAAAATGTGATTTTTTTAGACGACTGATCTTGTTGGAACAGTCGAAGATTTGTGGACCGATAGTCAGTTTGGGACCATGCATAAAAGAACTAAGGCCAAAAATTATCCATACATCTGATGTAGAAAAAAGGGATTTGAAAACAGAAGTTCTTATTGGAGCTGACGTCGGAGGTGAACTGTTAACTGTAAGAATTTAGAAATTAGAAAAAAGGCTGACTACTGTGGAATCACTGCTAAGATGGACA